ATTTTTAAGAAATAACTAAGAAATCATACGTTTCCGTTCTTAACTGATCTTGGCTCAAAGAATCGAGTTAGGTTTTTTCCAGTATTAAAGTTGTGAAACAAATTACAATCGTAGATGGCCTTTAGAAAAGATAGAAATTTATACTGGAAATATTCAGACTAATTTTTTAAATGAATATTCAAGTATTAGGCTTTCGGCGAATTAAATGAATGAACTAGAGAAATGTTTTAAATGGACACAGCAGTTAATTAGTATAAACTAGCATATGAAATTTTGTGAGAAGATGACACTTCCCATATTTGATAAAAACCCTTAAAAATGTTTATATTAGTTGGTAATATTATAGCCTAATCGTATACAGAACACTGCAGCGGGCTGTATTCTACATTTTCTGGAGAAAATATAAAGACTTTATACAATCGTTGATGTGTGGCGATTGACATTCAAATAAAATGACAAGAAAATTAAGTGTTTTGTGACCATTTTAATTTTCCACTCTGTGGGACAATATTTGTGATGTAAAAAAAATACAAAAGTGAACCGCGAACCCTCTTTTCAATGTCAAACACAATTAGAATTTAATTTAGTACCGAACACGGATCATATAACACGGAAATTTAAGATTTTGATTTTTTTTTCTATGTTAAGTAATTTGATCAATAAGGTTGTTAAAATTTCCTATAAATCCTCGACTTTCTTTCCTAAAAATACATAACTATAAACTATTAGAAGAGTAAAATACCTACGAATATTTTTTTTACAATGAAATGATGCAAATTTTCACGCCGAAAAGGAGAGATAACTCTTACTAAATCGTTGTATTAACCATACTGGTTACATGTTTAGAGATATCAGTTAAATATTCGAAAAGATTCTGTTTAATCAAAACTTATTGTTTTCATAAGTTTTGAATTATGATAAAGGATCAGAGAAGTTCTTATCAGTGGTCTAACCGATAAAACTATACACATGACCAGTACATAGCAATAAAATATCACGCATGGATTGAATTTAGACTTTGATATCTTCTTTCAAGGAGATACAGAACTTTTATAAAACACACATACATGCAATTTTATAATTTTGAAGTATATCCTTTGTACTTTCGAAATATTTCTTCAATATTGGTCCTGCTGTTTTTTTGGCAGATTCTGACATAACGCAATTCTTCCTTCATCAAAATTCGCAAAAAGAGGGTGAAGACTAACAAGGGGACAATAAAAAAAACTATGAGTCGAATAAAAACATATGAAACCATGACCGAAAAGAAAAAAGAACAGACTTCAAGACACTACACAGAAAACTAACAAAAACCGAGGGTGATCTCATTTACAAAAGATTCCATGCATGCTCGTGTTATACTCAATGAACATTTAACAGTTTAAAAAAAGGGTGTCAGGTCGCATTCAATGATGTCATAATCGAGCAAAGGAAAACTGGTTGTGGCTTGAAGTGGAATTTATCCGCGGTATCTGTGTATAATTTATTTTGATAAAAGCTTAATATATTGTTCAAACAGAGCATATTAATTAAGCTAATTAACAAGCATACGCTAAAACAAGTACGACATACGGCAATTATCGACAACCTCTTGACTACCGGTTTCTGGCATTTCAGGCAAATACATAATGTGGTGTAACCCGAATAATTCAGTCCCACCCCGTGATCGACTCTCCCACTTGTTAATGTAGCCATCGTAGAGCAGTGGAATATAACGACTGAATTATTCGGGTTAAATGTGGTGGGGTTAAATGATCAGATCGCTTTATAAGCACATAAACAAATAACAAAAAAACTTAATTTTGATACAAGACTCACAGTTACTGGATGTTATTTCAAAGACAAAATTCAACTAATAAATAAACCATATTTTCTAAGGCAAATTAGCAACAAAATATAAAATAAAGAGATATGGTATGATTGCAAATAAGACTACAACTATCCACCAGCGACCAAAAGACGTAGATGTAAGCAACTATATAGGTCACGGTATTGTCATTAAAATATCAGTTTGTGCCAGACTGATTCTGAGGTTTAGGGTACCAGTCATTTGGACCCCTCACATGTTGTCTAATGTTGTCATGAAATAGAAGTTAGTTCCAAATGGAAGAAATATTCTGGAATATTGTTTCCACTGGCCCAAATATTACAGTATTTGTTCCTAACGAAATAAAGGGTTTAGAACACGTGTTCTAGCCGGAACAGACCGTATGGCATTATCCAATACAGTTTTTAGGCGGAACAAATATACGTTGACAATGTAAACTGATCAGAATTCTTTTCTTTTTTAACTTTATCAAAACTCTATAAACTGTATTCTGACTGTATTTGAAATGTGATTTGAATTTTCTTTTTATTTTCTTTTTTAAGTTCTTATACATCCTTCGATTTCAAATTTCTGGATTTCGAGCTTTCTAAATGAAGGTAAATCCGGAAAAGATCGTCGTACGCACCAAATTTATAACCTGTTTTTTTTTTTTTTTTCATTTAAGAAACTTCTACAGATAAGGCATGGATTTTTTTTCAGTTACCAGTACATTTCAACGTAATGACAAACTACTTCATTGATCTGACCGATTTAAACCTCTATGGAATACATGATTTAATACCCTTATCGATATTGTGTGTATTTTCCGTATTTAGATCACGGATGATTTATCATACTTTATAGTTATGTGGTGCAATAAAATGATTCAATACAAATCATAACACTTGTTGCCTCGGTGGGTGTATATAACTTTGATCTCGGTTCAGCTTTAATGGGGTATGCAGTCCTGTCCTTACATAAAACATCACAATGATCATGGAACAGCTGTTAGCGTGATTACGGTTACATATTACTATTGTTAAATGTGACACTAGATGTAAACGCATTATATTTTTTCTGCTCAAATTCCGTCCAAACTCGTTTTCTTTGTATCGTTGGAATTTCATTTCTCAACCAGTATAGTGCTCATAATAGATATGCCCTGTATCCAATATTTGACTCTTATATTGTAGTTACGTCCTTTAGCCGCGATATTACAATTCAATCTATATATACGCCTGGATCACAAATTTGTTAGAATAGTCATAACACAGAGGCAGAATCCCCTCCTTAGTCGAAAAAATATCCTGTTTTTTGCATAAAATCTTCCACAAAATTAGACTTGTTGCACTCGGTGCTATTTTTACCATTACGAACAATTACGCCCCCTTTCCTCTAACCCTGAATCCGTAACAGATACAAATCATGCATTCAACGAATAAAAATCTTCATGTAACGTCGAATCTATATGCAAAAAAGTTGCTCATAATTTCAACTGAGACCTTTCTTTTCTTACAAATAACTTAGACCAACATCAAATCCTTATTTAAATAACATAACTGCAATAAGTTGACGAAGTTCCTGACTTGGGATAGGCACGGTGGGTGTGCTGTGGGGTTAAATTATAGTATTGTGAGAACGTAGTCCCCGTTCTCTCTCAATTAATATGAAGTTGTAGTTTATACAAAGTACATTAAGATTTTCGTTTTGTTGTTGTCGTACATTGTAAGAAAAAGCTTAAATTCCAGTAGACACAAAGCATTAATCATTTGTGTGTGTAGGGAGAGGGCATGTGCTTTTTATTTTCTTTCCTGGGCAAATATTTTGCTTTTTTATTTTTTTTACTCAAAAAGCAACAGTTGCACTTCTTTTCAATAAATAACAGGAACCTTATCTTTTGGGGAAAACTCTGTCTTGTACCGCTCCCCGGGCCCAATTCAATTCAGAATCAAACATTTAATCTAAAAAAATTCATGCCTCCTACCCCGCACACAGACAAAAGATGAACGGTCGATGCCATATACCTTCAACTTTTTATCCTCATGTATAATCGCCATATATATTTTTGTTAGGATTAGTACTTGAAATCAATTTTTGTTTATTAAATACTGTCATTGGTAATACAATTGTGTTCATTGATTTATTTGCTTACTACAAAACAATATTTGAAATGTCTCGACAAGTTATTGTTATCATTTTTATTTTGTATAACGTTAATAGTTCTTTTACCCAAGTGTAAATATATTTGTGTAATTTTTTTGCTAATTAAAGTTTAACAAGTTATCACGTTTAAACTGACCCAAAGTTCATTCACACGTATACACACCCGTTTCTTATTGAGTAATTATGATTCAATGAACTTTTCAAAACAATTTTAATTTAAAAGAATAATCGTTTTTCTACTTCGTCTTTGTTCTTTTCAATATTAGATAATCATTTTATGGTGTATGCTTAACAATTCTGAATGATTTACATGAATTCCAATAGATATACGATATGTACTTATACAAAATTTGGTACACAAATACCAAATACTATGATTCTATTTTTGATTTCTAAGGGGACGATCATTTAATATTCTGGGAGGGGGGAGGTGGCAGGAGAATTTTTCAAATGGTCGTCCCCTAAATTACCTAAATTATTCCTCAGCTTATGCTCAATGACGCAAAAATCAAAAAGGTTAGTTTAAAAAATTGTCTATACAAAAACCACCTTCTTCAACTTAATCAAATAATAAAATAATATTTTATATCTAAATATTCATCTCTTCAGTTCCAAACCTGAACCATTTAATCAACGCCGTGAAAAAATGATGAACCCCCCCAAAAAAATCCTGTTTTATCAATTAAGAACTATTTAGATCATAAACTGTGTAAAATGTGTAAATTATATTGACGATAGGTCATTTTGACCTGCCTTGTTAAACGTGGCGGGGATAAAGTGGTTTTCTAAATAATCAATGTGGACACATGTTCTCTTGATCACATGACTAATCAATTTTATTGATGGTTGCAGTCCGCTAATCACCTTTGTAAGTAATGCCTCGATTCTTTATCAGATACGATGTTTACTGAAACAGCACTGGAAAATCTCATAAAGCACACAACTGAATGACCTCAGGCGGCCATATTGACTGCACAAGGTCATGAACTCCGGACAAACTATAAACCAGATACTAATCAATGAGTCATGGTTTTCATTTTTGTAAAACATTTTTATTAAAATTTACCAAAATATTCATCCAACAGTTGGATATATGGTAATGCACCAATAAATGAAGACACATTAAAATGATTAAAATGATATCGAGGTAGAAAGTATAGAAAGTTGACCAACACGCACGCATTGTAAAATATATATATATAGCACTATCTTCATACATTTATACAACGAAATCAGACACCAAACCATTTTCTGATCTTCGTAAAAGGAGGAGGGGGTGCTCAATTTTTTTGTTCAGATTTTTCTCTCTTCTGAGTTGTAACATATGATTTAAATTTACATTGAAAGAAAAATAATTTCTTGTTTAAAGAAAAATGGGGTTTCTTTTCGAATCCACACCCTCCTCCTCAGCTTTAAAAATGATTTGTATTTCTTTTCTAATACCACCACTGAGGTAAAATATAGTACTATTGTTAAAAAAAATAACTTTGACAGTCTTAATATATACGAATATTTGTCAAAATTTAATGTTTTTAATATTTCAAATCCATTTTTTAAATTTCAAGGTTCATGCAACTGATGACACCTGAATATTAAAGTCAAATATTTCCAAATGAAAGAAATAGAAAAGACAAAAATGATTTTTTTTATATTTTCTAAATAATTTATCTGAACTATAATAACATTGAAAAAATACTGCATGAATACTGGCCTATTTCAAAAACTTTTCTTTATAACTGAGATAATGGATTGAATGATGAATGAACACTTTACCTCCATCCAAGTCAGCTGCTGTAGTAAATAAAGAGATATCACAATATATTGGTATGTAAATTTTGGGGTTAAAAAGAAGATAAAATGATAGCAAGCAAAAATTTAAAACAAAATACATAATCTGTATTTTCAGTTAATATACAATTGATGGAAATCGCGGAAAGTTGTAAATTATACATATATTGGTATGTAAATCTGAAGGAAAAGATTGAATTTACAGTAAATCTTAAAGTTAGTAGAGCACTAGTTTCTTAGAGATAAACATTACAAGATTGTCCAAGTTGATTGTAAAATTATTCTATAATGTTAATATATATACAAAGCATGCATTTGATTTCAAATCAATAAAAAATAATACGTCCAACGAAAACACATGAGGTAGTCTCATATTATAGAGGTACTTTGGTGAATAACATCAAGATAATAAGATATGAATAATAGAAGGATTTTACATTTAAGTGAGCATGTATAAATACTTAGGAACAAATTCTTGAAAGATGGCGTCAGAGTATAAAATGATGAAATCGTTTTCCAATCCTTTTGAGCAATAGTAGTAATGAAACAAAAATGCATATAATCAATATAACCAGCTAAAGGATTGTGATTTCATTTCTAAATTCGATTACATCGCACTTAATGAAATATAAAATTGTTTTTCTACAAAATTGGATATGTAGCATGTTACGATTGACAATCGACTCATTTGCATAATATGGATTATCTGGCAAATTCGATCAAGAATTCCATTCCTCTACCTGAGAAAGTTGGATTATCTGCTCAACAATGTTATATATAGATCAAAACTATGAAAATTTAACAAACACATTTATACATTCAAAAAAATGATATAATAATCTCCCTGAGTTTTGTTTTATCATTAAACAAATATGAAAAGCATGCAAAGATAATATGTACATAAAAAAAAGTTACAATGGCATCTCATAGCATTCAAAATTTACTTCAATACACATTCAATTTTCACAGCATTTTCAGATATTTGGATAATTTACCATAGCATAAAATATCAACCTCGCACATGTCAAAATGAGAACAATAATAATTCTCTATTATCATTATAAATGTCTTAACAAATGGAGGAATTCAAAATAATTTAATACTTTAATTAGTGATTTTTGGTATTTACTGTAAATATGGACCACCCAAAAATAGAAAATCTGGACTGGTGACATGAATATAAACTTGTTTAAACAATGTTGTCAGAAAATGCCAGTTCACTGGCATGGAAAATGTGTTCAAATTACCATTTAACTCTCAAGTAACGAGTCATGGTTCACGATAAGGCTGCCTTTGTAATAACGCTGCTGTTTAGATAACAGTACAAAATATGTGAAAATAAAAAATATACCCGCATGAGTCATCATAAATTATCTAACCACTGAAAAAGTTCCTGAGAAATCACAAAACAACAAAATTAACTGTTATACAACATACAACGTAACTTGGCCGTTTCTGTTTTCAGTGCTGCCACTTCGACCCGTAGTTTCAGATTCTCCTGCTCAAGCAGAGCAGCTCGGATGGCAATCTCATCTTCTTTAGCTCTCCTCATATCCCTCGATCTTTTAGCAGCTTCATTATTTTTTCGTCTCCGTTCCCAATATGCTCCATCTTTTTGTTCTTCTGGTAAAATTCTAGCACGTTTTCGGGATGATGTATAATTTCTGTGTTCGGTTGATGAGGATATTCCCATGAGTTGAGCCGGTCTGATGCCATTAGGACTAGACCCATTTCTAAATCCGTTAGGACTGGGTCCATTTCTAAACCCGTTCAGACTATGTTCATTTTTAACCCCGTTAGGACTAATAGTAGAACTTGAGCTGGGTGAACTTGTTGTCGTAGTTACGTTAGATGATGCTTTTGATTGCGCTATTGATGAAGATGATTCGTGCATTTTCTCGCCCGCTAGCAACATATGATGTCGATACAAATGAAAGAATTCTTCGCTATTTAAATTGAGATTCTGAAAACCATTAGAATCTGACGGCATTAGTCCAGGTATATACCCTCCCATGCCTAATGGGTCTTTAGGGTAAGATTTGAATGGACGGGTTGATGAAGACTTGTTTTGAGGATATTTAGGCGCCATGAGAGCAGCGACTGACGGAAGTGGTCCAAGCATAGGGTTAGGGATAAGTCCAGCTTGAAAAGCAGTCAACATACTTGCTACATTGTGATTCAATGACCAGTTACTATCAGGTTCAGACTTGATTTTATTAACCAGTCCATTCATTAGAATTTTTTCCTCACTTTCTGTAATTTTTCTATCATCCTGACTTAATCCAGTATCATTAGTAGATGCCGGAGATGGGACAGAGTCCGATCCTGAAATTTCGTTGTCACCATTTTTTCTCTTGAACGAAAAATCTAAAGGCGAGTTACTTCTTTCTTCTGATGAGTAACCATTCTCATTATTTATATTATTTACTGATCGATAATGTTCATTATTATTAGCTCTTGGGGTTGTGTAGTGCATTTCTCCGTTATTATTAGGCGAACCATCCTCAGCCATAGCATTCACATCAAAAACTATTTACCAAACCCTTCCGGATTAATAAACCTGAAAGAACAAAAGAACGGGAAGTTGTATATAACGTGGATATTTATTTTAAATACACAACACGACATAACTGAATTATTTATACTGAATACACAAGACTTAACAGGTCGATACAGATATAAAAATATCACAATAATATAAACTCTCTTACCTTTATCACATTAGTAAAATTATCCTTCGAAAAATAATTTAACTGTTACGAAAATTTATCAATGTGGAATGGTGTATTGTCGTACATGTCCTTGGAAAAATTATTACGTATATTTATCAATTGCCTAACATATTCCAATTGGCTTTAGACCCTGACCTCACTTGACGCTGGTAACTTATTCTAAACTATTCGATAATTCACGTAATCCAATATTAACTAACCAATCGCGCTTTCCAACTGGATTATGGGCATGTCCATGCCTTCATTCAAGCCTTAAACACATATAAAATACGCCCCTATTGGTCAGTTTCTAACTCATGTTGCGTAAGGTGAAAAACAGTTACATGTCAAAATCTCAAGCCTCGTTTTCAAGTGAGAAATGCTGTAATCGTGAACCTACGCAAACATTTACTCTTGTGGTAATATCTAATTCATACAAATATCATTACGTGTAGAAATCAATTATCTATATTCTTCTATTATATTTCTGTTGTAAAAATCAATATTTGAGATTAAAATTTAAATGGTTTTCTCAATACACAGAACAAACTGCATTTGAAATTTTAAATTCCACAGTGAATTATTTTGGCCATGTGTTAGTTGTTTGCTCGGTTGTTTGGTCACTTAGAAAGAAAAAGGTCAGGTCACATGGTTATTTTTAGCCTGACAGGTAATACACAGTGATATATTATCTCTTACACCAGATGTTATACACAAATGTACTTGTTATATTTAGTATGTTGTAATTAGATTATCCAATTAAATAACGTAAACGTTACTGAACATTTTATCACAGTATCTCTATGTATATTTACTTATTATTAAAACACCTGTATGCATTTAAATGCAACATATGACTATATATTTATGGCGAACCTTGTTTTTTTTTAAGTACGGTCATATTGTTAACAAAAAGGAATAAGTGAAATTTACTCAGGCAACACGGAAAAGTGATCTACATTTTTGTAACTTAAGATGTGCGTATCAATTTTATGCTACATAAAGACACAACATACTTTATTTTTATAAAACATGGTAAAACAATTCTTAGATGCAAACTTTTTCTAACTTAATTTCCGAAGAAAGCTTTTCATTGTTCTTGTATTTACAAATAACATATGAGAGTTATAGCCTCCCCCTTTTCCTTGCCTCTACCTTTTACCATTATCCGTTTACAACCATAAGATCGAATAAACCATTATTATTATTACTACTTAAACTGTTACTATTCGGTCGTTATCGCTAAAATATCACGGTATGCTTAGTTATGCTTTGTTAGTCTTGTATGTTTTTAATTTAGTTCCTTTATATGTTTTGGAGTTTAGTGTGACGTCCATTTTCACTGAACTAGTACACAATTTTATTTAGGGGCCAGCTGAGGACATCCTCCGGGTGCGGGATTTTCTCGCTGCGTTGAAGACCCATTGGTGGCCTTTGGCTGTTGTCTCAGCTCTTTGGTCGGGTTGTTGTCTCTTTGACATATTCCCCATTTCCATTCTCAATTTTATTGATATATCCGAATTTCAGAAGATTTTTAAAGAATCGTTTTTTTTCTCTCTATCAAATAACATAAACCCATTTCATGCACAAGACCTAAGATCAAACTTTGAACAGAATCACAGTAGCTAATTACTCCTTTAATTTACCAGCACTTTTAATGTAAATAAACATAAGGTTTTGGTTTTTATCATTTCCGGAGAGTAATAAATTATATGTAATAGTAATTTCTGAGATTTAAACGTTGTGAAATCAAATGTAGTGTAATTTTTCTTCCTGCTGAGTCGCCTTTGATTAATATAAATAATATAAATTTCCAATAGTTTGTACACAGTAGGTGTCTTTGATTAGTCACTTTGGTAACATATTATTCCGAAGTTTAATTGTATATTTATAATAGCAAATTTTCAAAGTGTACAAAATAGACTATCATATCTGATTACATATAAACTATGAGTGATTACTTTAAAAAAAAAAAAGAGAGAACAAAATCCCACGGTTGTAACCGAAAACTGTTAGTTAAAGAACAACGACAACGCCATGACTAAAAACCCAAACTTAAACAAACAAGACTGAGCAACACGAACCCAATCGAAAACCCGAGTTGAACTCTGGTGTTTCGGATAAGCAGTTTCTGCTCCACCAGCTGCCAGCTATTTCTGTTTTAACTCACTTTTGTTGTTATGTTGCAGTTTTATCAACGTTTAACACGAACCATTTCATTAAAAAAACTTTTAACTTCATAAATAGATATCTTTCACGCACATTTTTAACAATAACGAGGGGTCATTTGTAGCTTGACATATAGACAGTTGTCGCACATTCAATTCTAGATATCATTTTGGTTTTGGTGAGATAATGTCGCATTCACGTATAACCCCATCGCAAATTCTTCATGAACAAGTTCTGTTTAAATATTCGTCAATAATCATATATTATTTCTTGAAAAGTTTAACTATTCGTCAATAATCATATATTATTTCTTGGAAATCGGTGACTATTAAGCCTAGACTATCCTTTTATGTAATTCTAGGAAAAAATGAAGAAAAAAAAACTATTAGCTAATATGTAAAAAAAAACTAACTATGGCAGATAATTGTGTTAAATTTGATATTTTCTATGGAGAAATGTCTATTTTCATTATATGTAATACTTTAGACAAAAACAATAATCAGCCATATTAAAGAATCCGAGATACAATACAAATTCCACGTGTTCTTAAGTGATGGTAAATTCATATATCTAGTACTTATGAGAAATATTTTATTAGAAAAATAAATTTCAGGACTAATGTATGATTTTCAAATACGCGTCAACCAAATGTATGTTACAAAGAAAACCTACATATATTTTTATACACCTTACTATACAGAAAACACAAAATGAAAATCTGACTGGAATATATTTGCAACAGCTTAATTTTTAATTCACACCATGAAGCATGGATACAAGGGATTAATATTTTACACAAAATATCACACACCAGTTAAATAAATCGTTCCATATAACAACCATAGGATAAGTATATCATACAACAGAAAAAAAGGATATATATAATTTGCGGAAGCAAATTTTTGTTCTTCCCTCGCTATGATTCGAACTCATGCTATTTGGATATCGTGACAACACCGTCTGCACTGTGCCAATTGCATGAGTTCGAATCCCGGCGAGGGAAGAACAAAAATTTGCTTCTGCAAATATGCAGATTTAACATTGTTGTGCTGATATTTATATATATTTATATATAGCTCTCACCACATAACATCCATACCATGTATATGATTATATACCATACACCATAAGATATGCATAGAAAACAGAAGACAGACTCTAAATGAACATCACAAGTTTCAACAGGATAACTCCACTGAACACCATATAATAACCATATGATATGAAATAAACACCAAAAACCAACAACGAGATTTACAATTCATACCAGATAGTAAAACCAGAGAATGTGAAATGTACACCATATAACAACAACAGAATATGACATGAACACCATATAACAACAGGATGTGACATGAACAACATACAATAACAACAGGATATGACATGAACACCATATAACAACAGGATATGACATGAACAACATACAACAACAACAGGATATGACATGAACACCATATAACAACAGGATATGACATGAACAACATATACAACAACAACAGGATATGACATGAACACCATATAACAACAGGATATGACATGAACAACATACAACAACAACAGAATATGACATGAACACCATATAACAACAGAATATGACATGAACACCATATAACAACAACATAATATGACATTAACACCATATAACACGGCACCATTTGATTTATGACACATCATATATCAACAACGATATATGAAATTAACACCATATGATAAGCATAAGCTGTGATATAACTCCATATAACACCCATATTAAAGATACATAAAAATCGCCATAAATCTAATTAAAACATATATAACAGTCAAAGGGTATATAATTTACACCATACACAAAAAAATATTACCGTATAGATAACACAGGATATATTACTCAAGGGTATGCATCTTATCATATAGATAACACAGGATATATTACTCAAGGGTATGCATCTTACCGTATAGATAACACAGGATATATTACTCAAGGGCATGCATCTTACCGTATATATAACACATGATAAAATATTACTCAAGGGTATGCATCTTACCGTATATATAACACATGATAATATATTACTCAAGGGTATGCATCTTACCGTATAGATAACACAGGATGTATTGTGCAATAGAGGCGAACTTTACCGAAGTTGACTTCGTTAATAAGTTAATGTTTCCAAGATTGCAGAATAGAACCGAATTTGATCAAAGTTGTAACCTCCATTTTAGCATGATTTTAAGCGATCACGTGGTCCCTAACGGTAATGATGACACAACCTGATAATCGTATACTAAACTGAGCAACTTTTTAGAATTAAAGGATAAACAAAGTGGCGTTATATCATATACCCCCTTTTCAAACTTTTCAATTATAATATTCGGAAAGTGTATTTGATCCCTTTTATTCTTAAAAACGAACAAATTGTTTCTAACAACAGTGCACCAAAATACACCTTAAGAAAAAAAAAATCCACAAAAAATCTCCAGCACACCACCATGTACTTCAATAAACAATGTGGTGTTCATCAGCGTTAATTTCTATAAAAATTTTGGCCGAGTTCACTTGAAACTCTAGAGTCCACTATATATATAGAGTTTCAAGAGTATCACGTGAGCGGCACTCGAGTTGCTATTCGGAACAACTCTAAGTAACTCTAGGGTAAGGCCCTGACTAAGCATACAAAAAGGAAAAAAATCTGATTGGTTTGACGTCTTTCAAGGGTTTCTCGAGTTTAACCCTGGCTCAGTGAGGGTTGGGACCGGGGTAAGAGGGGTTAACTCGAGAGGTTCGAGTAAACTCGGATTGTTGAAACCCGAGTTAGTAAAGTTAACTCTAGAGTTTCAAGAGAACTCGGCCCTTGATTTGAAACAGACTGTCTTGTCTTTGCATTCTCGTTCATTTTAAGTTTACGGGGATATACGAGATACAAGCTCTGAATGATAAAAAAATGGATCATCGAGTGAAAGAATATCATCAATATCTCTTAAAAGAATTTAGAATTGTGAATGTTACTCTACCTCTATATTCTATTGTTACCTGTGGCGATCATGATTTTCCCGCCGGATTTGAACAAAATGAGGATCATGTGTAGACGTTGTGCCATACATCATTACTGGAAAGTTTCAAAACCATATGCTTTGCCTATGTGGCTTCAGAGCAGAAGACGTTCATAAACTGTCAAACATTTTTTTTTGGAGAAGGGGAGATGGAGTGAGGTATTTTTATTGAAAAAAAATAGATAAACTTTACTGTATACGGGATTAATCTTTTTTAAGTATTGCTTCAGTTACCTTTTCCAGTTTCATAAAT